TTCACAGCAATCCCCACAACAGAAGCAGAAAGGAAGTCCTCTAGCTCATTCTGAAAAACATGACTTTGAAGAAAAGAAAAATAGTGAGAAGTAAGGGCAAGAAGTTGAGTGTGCCAGTTTTCAGTAATGTTAGTAAACTGTAATACACTCGTTACCTACCCCAGCCCATGATTTAGCTTAGGTCAGGCGCACTTCCAAGAGAGTGCCTTGCAGCGGAAGTTGGGGGTACCAGCTGAATCCTGGTGCCATCACCAGTTCAGAGTTGGATTCTAGTTCTACTGCTTATGATTATCATTGGGGTATTTTTCATTATTACTAAGATACTGGAGATCCAACAAAGGGCCTTGATCTTGCCCAAAGAACTACATCTCCAGCTTTTAATGTTTGTATTTACTAAGACCTTGTACCTTAAATTCATATATATATATATATGTTCATAATTTCCTCATCTGTTCAAGAAGAATGCTATGGGGCCAGGGAGATGGCTCAATGGAATAAGTGTTTCTCTGGCAAGTGCAAGGGCCTGAGTTCAATCCCCAGTTCCACCAAAAAAAAGAAAAAAAAGAAAAAAAAAGAAGAAGAAGAGGAAGAACGCTAATAAGAAGAGGTATGGCGGTTGTATTCATAAAGCCCTGTAGTTCACAGTGTCTATTCCGGTGTCTACGCCACAATGCTCTTTGCACCTGTTAGTCCCCTTCGTGAGGACTTTGGTCTCCTCTGACTTCCACCTGTGTGTTAGGACAGATCACGCAGCGTGATGTGTGTGTCTAATCCATAGTCTTCACAGTGGTCCAGAATTCTAATAGATCACCTGCTTTCCCTTCCTTTCTTTTTATATTTTTCCCCTTTTCTTTCCCCTTCCACCCTTCCCATCTAACTTCTTTCATTTGTGCTTCTTGTGTAATTTTCTTTCTTTTTAATTGAGAGCTTTAAATCACCAGGCTCAAATTAAAAAATGAAAAAAAACTTAATATTTTCTCTGATGGTTAAAGCCAGATCTTTTGGGTTTATCATGAGAAACTATCAGGAGCAAAAATAACCAAAAAATTGCCATGAATTATATTAATAAAATTATATCCATTATTATAAGTACAGATTATTGTGCAGATTAAACTGTTTTCAAATTTCTACATTTTAATTTTTATATTATTTTAAAAAATTGTTCGTGTTGATTTATGTGTATATTTTCAATTAATTTTAATTTATGGAACTGTTTATGTTATGTAATTTGTTTTAAGATATTTACAATATCACCACTGAATTAAACAAATTATATAGTAGAAACTTGTATCTACCATTCCACCTTTAATTTTTGACCTAACGAAGCTTTCCTTAAAACATTATGTTTTGAGTTTAAGTGCTAAGCATGTAAGCAATTTTTATAGCTACACTTTTGAGAAGAAACTGCATTACAGGAAAGAATCTGTGATTTCAATTCTGCATGAACACTGCATGCTTAGCTAGAAAGCGTCAGCCTCTACGTTTCCTGATAGGAAGAGTTCGAAACACAGAACTTCCGACACTAACCCATTCCACTGAGCGACGGCTCTGAATAGAAATCACGCGGCCGGGACAGCCAGGCCCCGTAGCGCCCGGACTGCGATGCTTGCGAAGTGTCGCTGCCAGCCTTCGCCAGGTGGGCCCCCGCGGAAGGACGTGAGGTCGTAGGAGGCGACCTTGCAAGGGGCATCAGCACGGCAGCCCTTCCTGCGTGCACTGAGGTGACTCTCAGCCACCACGAGGTGGGCTTCGTCTTTCTTTCCCGTAAGCTCCTGATGTAATGTACCTCTTTGCCACAGGCCAAAGCACAAAAGGGTCCAATGACCACAGAGCGAAGTTTCTGAAACCGTGAGCCAATAGAAACATTTTCTCCTTTTAAATTTCATATTTCATTGATTTTTGTCCCAGCAGCAAAAAATCCAACTAATGCAGATTCTTACTGCCAGTCAGGTGGAAATAACGGACAAGACTGACAGCTGAATGGTGACCAGGCTTTCATGTCCAACGCAATGATCTTAGAAGTATAAAAGTTGGGTAAGTCAAGGCCCATCCCTAATTGTTCTAGGGCAGTGTTGGTGGACCTGGCCACACGCTGCAGACAGCACCCGGAACTCTCTCTGTCAGCACGCCAGCCTAGTTACCCCAGCCTTGGGTTAGAGTTCCTTTCTCTAAACTAAAACCTCAGCATTCAAATTCAGTTGCAGTGTTGTGGGCACTTTGCAATAAAGAAGTGGGTCTGAGGTTGTGGGCTGGATGCTGTCTCTAAATGTTTGCCATTGTCCTTAGGGCAACAGGCACCGACTGGGATCTTCTAGGGAAAATGCAAAGGCCCTGCCATCTGACGGAGCTTGGCCAACAGCCACCTTAATCCCAGTGATGGCACAAGGTCACATGCCTCCCGCCTGGCTGTAGGCTGTTTACTTTTTCTTTCTAGATAACAATTAAATTATTTTGCTATTCAGAGTGGTGCACGCCTTGACATGTGCTTCTTTACCAGGCTGCCCTCCACTTACCCACAGATGGCTTCTCAGAGGCAAGCCTTCTGCTCAGGAGGTACATCGAGGAAAAGTGTAGCACTAACATTGCATGAAGGCAATTTTTCAAACCTGTAGAATTACTTATTACTGACTATGAATTAAGTACCCGCAGTAAGAAGAGGAGCAGGGAGTGGGGCTGTGTAGGAGTCTCCACCTCATCTATTTACTTAGGTGTGGGCCATCCTCAAAACAATGCTTGGGATCTTTCCCCAATAGTTTTAAAAGAAACAAGTATTTGTTAACATTGTGGTGTGTGTGTGTGTGTGTGTGTGTGTGTGTGTGTGTTTTGGAGTTCAAGCTATGGTTGAACACTTGTTTTTTATTATTACCTTTTTTTTGCAAAGAGAGGCTATAATATTTCACTCTGTTGCTTTGAGGATAAATTGACAATGTTTTCAAAGATAAAGCACTTTTTCACTGGAGTGTGCAAGTGTGTTTCCTCTGGGCTTACAGATTTGTACTAATGATTTATTTTAAAGACTGTGGATGTGATGAACAGTGTGGATCCAATCCAAGTCTACGAACTTCGTAGATTTCACTACATAAAGGATGCATGACTCAAAAACCGGTATTTAAATCCTGCAAATTATTAAGAGGCTCTATATCTTTTTTCTTTGAGATACTTTCAGGAGTTCAGGCACCAGCCATCTTCAGGGCTTCCCCGCAGTACTCTCAACAGAACGCTGAAGACTGCAAGAGTAGTCACGAGTTCCTCTAAATAGCTATTGCTAGCATGTTTAGCAGTATGAAGCAATTAGCAAGAATACTTGGATGAATGAAATGCACCCGGAGCATGCGGGGTGGGTGCTGAGCTCGATTTCTAAAGAAGTTGTTATATGGAAGGACAGGTGGGATTTGGATGTCAGTTACGTAAGAAAATATTCTTAGGAGTCTCTCTAGATAACATTTTGCCTGCTAGCATAACTGGTCCTGAAATCCAGTGACAGATATACTTTCTTGGATATTTGGATAAAAAAGCATCTGTATTTGGTTATACTAGTGCCCTGGGTTATTATGTTCTGCTCTATCTCAGTGCCCTCAAGTGTAAAATGAGAATTTTGTCACTTATGTATTGTATGCATTATACAACTAAATATGAAAACTGATATGATTTGTAACACTTAGAGGCAAAGATGAGATTGCAAAACTTTGGAACCAGACGATCTGGTTTCTTACATATTTCTCGGTTGGCTCTTTGATAGTTTGGGGTTATATAAATACCTGTAGTATATAGGGGCCATCTGTCATATGGGTATATTAATTTAGGTCAGAAGCCAGAAAACTTTTTCTGTAAAGTACCTGACAACAATACTTCAGGCTTTGCAAATCAGCTGGTTTTTGGTTTTATTTAACTTTGCCACAGGTAGGCAAAAGCGGACATAGATCATATATGTAAATGAAATGGGTATGATTGTGTTTCAGTAAAACTATTTATTCAAAAGAAGCAGCTGGGGCCCAGCAAGATAGTTCAGTGGACTAAAGTACCTGCTTAAGCAGGTTTAGACAAGTGTAAGGACCCTGGTTCAATCCTGGGTACCACATGCCATGCCAGCCTGGCCTTCTGGCCAAGCCAGCCACAGAGCCAAGCGTAGTGGCATATGCCTGTAACCCCAGTGCTGGGGAGGGTGAAAACAGGAGGATCACTATGAGTTCGAGCTGTGTAGTGACATCCTGTAACAACCAAATGCATTAAAGAAGAAGGAGAAGGAGGAGGAGGAAGAGGAAGAGGAGGAAGGGAAAAGGAAAGGGGAAGGGGAAGGAGGAGAAGG